TTTTCTTTTATTTTTAAATAAAAAATCAGCGTGCGATAAGATCTACGCAGACATGGTAAAAGTTTCGCTTTCGTGCAGCTCTAAGAACGTGCGAACATCGTCCGGCAAAAATGGAACATCAAATGCTCCGGATTTCATAACTTCTTTTTCGAAACGTAAAGAATACTGAAGTGTAACATTTTCCTGGTGACTGGATTCTTCCTTATTCACTGGCGTGTGAATGGGACGAGAGATAAAAGTGACCTGATCAAACGCTGCTTGTAGCCCGAGAAAACCTAGTCAAATTCAGCAACAACGCAAATGTGCGTGTCTTTCTCGAGTAGTAATCTTTGGCAAAGCAACTCTGCTCTCTCCGTATAACTTACCCAGTCCGTCCAGCACAATGCGGTCTCAAAATTCTGCCGGGGGGAGGGGGGTTGAGTTAGCTGGAGTATAATAATTATTTTGCCACCCCAAAATATCGAGATTAACTAAACACTTTAAGACGGTGCACCCTCGTAGTTGATTTCATAATTTCTATACGTCTTACGGAGGATGCGATGACAATTTTATACAAAACTAATCATAAAACCTGAAGGGAATGGACTAATTCGGAGAAAATACCGAAGATATAATATTAAAAGTGATCTTATAAAAATATGGCGTGAGGATATGTTGCCTCACAATAAGGTCCTTTTGATTCCATAAAAGATGTTAAATTTCTTGATTAGATTAGAGACAATTAGCTTTTCAAGAATCAGTCTGATCCATGAAATTAGGCAAGTTAAATCTAAGCAACTATCATCTTCTCACGGAGTCTACCCCGTGTAGTTATGTAGAAAACTGAGATCTTAATATATGATGTCAGAAACAATGAAATATTTTTAATTCTGAGCGATATTTTATTATTATAAAAACTTCTAATTACAAGACTGTAATGCGTACATTCTTTAAAGTAATATGAATGTCGCTCATATTAATTTAAATTCTTAATCCTTCACAATAAACTTCTGTGATTACTGTAACTTACGTTGTTTCTAAGTCATTCTAAAATCGTCATTTTTCTTAAATATTTAATTATGCCTCTGCTGTCGAACGTAAAAAAATAAATTTTGTATTTTATAGCAGTAGCCAATAGTGTTATCGGCTATAAACCCGTATCACACACGTAATTTATATTAGACGTACGTATATAGAGCGATTCAAAGTTCTAGTACTGTGAAGAGGTTTTTAGGGGGACATCATTTGGAACAGGAAATGTAAATGACTTTTTCATCTGATCCTCCGCCTTTTCCGGGTTGTGGCGTTTTTTACTTCGACGTCGCTCTTGAACGGCTGTGACCGCTCGGACAGAAATTCCAGTAACGATTCTGACAAGTCCTCGGCAGACGAGCGGAAGAGTACTCGAAGGACGACTGGAAAATGCTACGAAGTTCAAGATCTGCTTCTTTTCATTGCAAACGAGGAAATAAATTGGCTTGTTATG